ATTTATCTATGCACGTAAGGAAGTATTTTTTATTGGTTGAGTATATGTCTATGTGTAGTATTTCGCCCACATAGGAAGGTATGGGTGTTTCTCCAAGTATTTGTTTTTGTGGGTGACGATTGTACTTAGCTGTTTTACAAATTTTACAATTTGAAACAACTTCGTTCGTTAATTTTGTCATTTTCGGAAAAAAATAGTCTTGTAAAATCTGCTTCACATTTTCTTGGGCTGCTCTGTGAGCCCGATTGTGTTCTGTTGCAATTATTTCTTTCTGTTCGTTTTTATCAAAAATGTCATTTACTATGTACTTTGTATATCGAAATGTTGTTGTTGGAAAAGTTTCTATTAGTTTATGTTGTATGAATGCTAATATTGGTAACTCGCAATGGATTGCATTTACGACATCTTTTTTGACTACATCGCAAACTCTTTTGATTAACGAGTCTCTGTTTGAGAAATGAATTGTATGTCGGATTTTCTTACCAAATAGGATAACTGTACGATCAGAGGCTATATTATTTTCTTCTATTATAATTTGGTTTTGGAAACAGTTGATTGGTTTGTCTGTTGTGTCTATGGTGTATGTGAGCGATATTTCGCTGTGAATTGTGGCTCTGTCTGACTGTACATCGTCCTCTAGGGCATGAATATTATGCCGTGACAGTGCGTCCGCAACGTAGTTCTCCTTCCCTGGCTTGTAATAGATGTTTGCGTTATATTCATCTATAAAAGCTTTCCAACGCCTGATTTTTGCGTTCGGGTTTCGGTCGGATACTGCAAACGTCAGAGGCTGATGGTCCGTAAAGATATTTAAATTTTTTTACCCCATATAGATAATTTCGGAGGTTTTTTAAAGCCCAAACTATTGCAAGTAGTTCCCTCTCATTTGTTGCAAAGATAAGCTCTCTATCCTTTAATGTTCTTGATATCATGGTGATTGGTTTTCCACCTTGTGACAGAACTGCCCCAAGACCAGAGGATGAAGCGTCCGTTGTTAAATCAAACGGCTTCTTGTAGTCAGGGTAGAGCAACATTACATTTTCGGATGCAAGAACCTCTTTTAGCTTCTCGAATGCCGCATGTTGACTCTCGTCAAATTTTACTGGAATTTTTTTGGATTGTCCGGCGCTCACTTTGCCATTTTGGCCTTTTAAGATGTCGCTTATAGGTTTTGCTATAGACGCGAAGTCCTTGATGAAACACCTATAGTAGCTTGCCAACCCAAGGAATGATCTGACGTTAAACAAAGTTGTTGGTACTTCATAGTTACGAATCGCTTCAACTTTACTTGGACATGTCTTTATACCATTACTTGAGACTACGAAACCTAGGTATTCTACACTTTCTTTGAAAAAGTGCGACTTTTCTGGTGAAACTCTCATGTTGGCCTCGTATAGTTTATCTAGGACCCAGGCGATATGCTTGACATGGCTTTCCATATTTTCAGAAAAAATGATTACGTCGTCTACGTAAACATAACAAGATTTTCCAATTTGCTCTCTGAGCACATCGTCAATGGCTCTCTGAAAAATACTAGGTGCATTTTTCAAGCCAAAAGGGAGCCTGCAGAACTCATACTTTCCGCTTCCTACAGAAAAGGCTGTTTTTTCTCTATCTTTTTCGGCAAGTAAAATCTGGTGGAATCCGGATTTTAAATCTAGTGTTGTAAAGTACTTTGCTGTGCCTAAGTTGGATAAAATGGAGGCTATATTGGGAATGGGGTATTTGTCATCTATTGTCTTTTTGTTTAGTTTTCTGAAGTCTATAACTAAACGTTTCTTTTTTCTTCCCTGCTCGTCGGTACCTTTTTTATCTACAACCCACACGGGGTTATTGTATGGTGACTGGGACGGACGTATTATACCGTTTTCTAACAGATCTTGAGTTTCTGTGTTTACGAATTCTGATACGCCCATTGGGTATGGATATAATTTTGAATAAATGGGATTCTCGTCCTCTGTTCTAATAGTTGCAATGACATTTGTATTATACGGAAGCGCTTCATTTGGTTCCGCAAATACTCCTGCTCGGGCTTTGAGCATTGTTTGAAATTCCGTTGTTATAGCCTGAGGGGCTTCTATTTCTTTGACACTTGTGAAATTTACGGCTGGGCATTTTAGAAAGTTAATGGTCTCAGAACCATAGTTTGTTGTTAGTTTCTTATTTTTGAAGTCTAATAAAACGTTGGTTTGGTTTAGTAGGTCAAGTCCGATTATACCATCGAATGTCGTGAGGTTTGGTAATAAGAAAAATGTTGTCTTGGTATTAAAAAGGTGCATTATGCATTTCTTGTCAACTACGTTGTGGCCATGGATTGATTTTAATCGAAAGGGTTTTTCTACCGGCGTAATATTTTTTAGTTCTTTTAATGGTCTCACGTAATTCTTTGAGGCTCCGGTATCTATTAGCAACTTTATGGTTTTCCCTGCTATCGTTCTCTCTATGAACGGGAGCAGGGATTTATTCCTAAAAAATTGACCTGGTCGTATTCGTCCAATTCATTGTCAACGTCTTCTGTCTCGGTTTCTGCGATCGCTTGGTATTCGCTATTGTCCTGCTCGTATTCTGTATCTTCTGTTCCTAGGTGGTTAACTCTTTTGCTGTTTCGGTCCTGTGAACCGTGCGCTACCGCTGTTTGGTCGTTTGTTTGCCTGTCCCTGGTTATTGTAGTTTTCGTATTGAGTGCGTCGTTGTTGATTTGGCCACTGAGTCTGTTTCGAGAAGGTCGCGTTTTGTTGGTGTTGCGTAGCCTGTCTGAAGCGAGAAGATGAGTCAACGTCCATTGGTTCTACCTGTTCTTGTCGTGGTGAGAATTCTGGTCTTTTGTAGTGTGGGCTTTTTCCTGGTTGGTTGTGTTTTGGGTCTTGAGCTAGAGTCTTGTCTCTGACTTGCTGTCTTTGTTCGATCTTCTGCGCTTTTTCTTCTATACTGCGGGCGAAATTTGTGGCGAACATATAACGTTCATGATTTGACTCAACTTCTTGAGCCAATGCCAATGCAGAGGGAAGATCAATTGGTCTAGCTGAGAATAGGACATCACTTAAGGCCTTCCTGGTTCCTGAGATGAATACTCGCAGGGCGTCTGCTCTATATTTCTCATTTAGCGAAGAGGCAACGGTGGTGTCGTAGGTCATGATTGTCTTATTTATAAGTAAAGTCAGTTTCTTTTCTACCTCGTCGTAGTACTGCAGTAGTGTCAAATTTCCTTGGCGGAGTGTTGACATCTCCTGTTCAATTAAGTATATCGGTCGTTTGTCGGAGTACGTGAAATCTAACCGATTTATAATGGCCTTAAAATTTAGAGGAGTGTCGAAAGAAGAGAGTACCATATCAGCAGCGTTCTTAATTTTGTTTCTTAATATTCCCAAAGCTTGATAATGCTTTGAGCTACCATCGTATTTCTCATATACCTTGTATGCGATATGCGCAGCCTTTCTCCAAGATACATAAGTTTCGCTTTTTCCTTCAAAGTCCGGGAGGGACTTCATGATGTCAAGGGTTTCGTTGCAAATAACACCTATTTTGATTTCTGCCTCCTTGAAAGTTTCTACCTCGGGTGCGCTAACCTGTACTGAATTTATACGTTGTTCAATTTCGTTTAATTTTCTATCAAAGCTATCTTTTTGAGCAGCTAAAGCGCTTGCGACTGCGCCTTCTACTATAGCTTTTAATTGATCTGAATTCAAAGCCATTTTTAAATTTTCTGTGTTGTAAATTTTTCGAAAATTTGTTATTAAATCTTGTATTTCACTATCACTCATAGGGCAAGTAAAGACAGGGAATTTTGCGTGCTGCGTTTTTTGTTATTAATAATTAATATTTAAAGGTTGAAATTGTATTTTTATTTGTTTTTACTCCTTAATTTCTTTTTTTTGCAATGAACACTCTACTCACATGTTCTTATATTATGTTAGTAGACTGTATGTTGTGTGTTTCTTCGCTGATGAGCCGCTTCGTGGTGGGTGTCTTCGCTGCGTACTGCTTCGTCTAATGCTGCTTTCTTTTTTTCTTTTTTCGTTTTGGTTATGCGTTTTAGTTGTCTTGCTGTTTTTTTTTTTGCACTTGTGGGGTATTTATCTCACTGAATGCTTGTTTTAATCGAAGTTTTAATTTCGTTTTTTTTTTTTTTTTTTTTTTGTTTTTTGGGTTCGTTTCGGTTGGGCGCCAATTAAGCTTTTTTGCTGTAGTTGTTAGATGTTAGTGTGCGGTGTTGCACAAAATGAGTAGACTTCAATAATCCCGTGGCGACGACCGACGTTCTTTATTATCAAAAATCAACTAAAGTACAGTGACATAAATTCTTATATCCAAAGCTAGCCCTAAACCCTGATTATGCTGACATTGCATATTTACGCGAGGCATCGCATTACTTCGGGCAACAACATTGTTGCGCGTTGGAGCCACTGCTGCTGTTGTGCAATATCCGCTGGGAACGGCTACATTCATGCTGACGGCGCGTGATCAATCTGAACATTTATGTTTTGCTGGTCGATTGTGTTAACTTATATATGCATTCGTGTGCGTGTGTGTGTGCGCGCGTGTGGGTGCAGCTGTGCTTAACAAAAACAGAACTTAAGATTTGAGCTTGTTTTGGTGCACCCATAGAGAGAAAAAAAAAAAAACAAAAACAAATTCTAATAATAAAAAATCAACATTAATTTTACAGCTAGCCAAGAACAACAACAACAACTACAACAAACAAACAACAACAAGCACATTATCATAAACATAAACAAAAAAAAACATAATTATAATTTTATATAATTATAATTATGATGTGATCAGAATTTTAACAGCAACAAACCAACAACAACAAAAGGTGCTAACAACAACAACAACAACAACAAAGAAGTAGAAGAAACAGAGCTGACAACGAAGTATTAACGAAATACAAAAACAAAAACAAACACCTAATAATACTTAGTTAATATAGAAGAAGAAGAAGAAGCTAAACAAAAAATGCTCAACATTTGCAACAACAACAACAACAATCGCACACATACATATGCCCAACAGTGTGCGTGTGTGTTTGGCATGTGCATGTATGTGTGTGTGTGTGAGTGTGAGTGTGTGTAACGATGTTCAACAACTAAACGAGTTAACTAACTTAACAAACACATCAAGCAAATTGATCAAAACAACAACAACAACGAAAACACAAAAAGCAAACAACTTTAACAGCAACTTCAACTCCACCAATAACAACAACAACACCAATTACAACTGAAACAACAGCTACAACAACTGTTCCAAGAGTATTAACTAAGAAAGGAGTTAACAAAAGCAGAAAGAATTAAACTCAGCATTCAGGTAAGTTCTTATTTTGGCTTAAACGCATTATCTTAAGATAATAAGAAACTATCTATTGTATAGTTGTATGTCATATAGTAAATACTTGGTATATATTTTCTAGATTTATATAAGTTCGACAGATTTTTATATAGATTTTAAGTGTTACATGGCGTATGCTCGATAAAGACTTCCTTTGACATTTTTGATACAGATATCTCTTCCTCTCTCTCTCTCTCTGTCTCACTCTACTTTTAAAGTGACTACGATATATACATGCTTATATGTACGTATGTATATATCATATGCAATGGATAATTGATATAGATGTGCATATCTATGTATGTATGTATAATCATCATACATGCTATAGTACTAATATTTCTTTGAAGGATCTATTTGCAATGCATATCCTTAATATGAAAAAAAAATTTTTAAATTAAATTTAATTAATTTCTTACCGAATGTCTAGGCATTTTTTTTATTGAAAATAATACCAAAATATTTGTAAAAAGAAATATGATATATGAGACATTATAACAAGTGAATACTACTCATAGACAATATGTTGTTAGCTATCTTCAGTTATATCAAAGACTTAAAGAAATTTGAGTAGATTTACTAGTAGAACAAACTAAATTAAGGATTGCAAAGTCAAAACTGTTAATGAGTATATACATATAAGGGGCTATATCTATATTTATATAATGTGCTACATATAAACTCTATATAAATAATTTTCATATACTTTTTATATACTTATACTAATTAAATATAGAATAAGTTATATGTAAACCCTTTATATAATGGGTAACACATTATGGTTATACATGTATTATGAGTTATACATATATGTATACTCTTGAGGGCATTTAAAGTTCATTGCAGCTCGTAGCTATATTATGTACATATATAAAAAATATATATTTTTTATATAGACTATATGTTTGCTTATCTCTCTGTAAGCTCTTAAATCATAGAATTTAATAATATTATTAATATATATGTAAAAGAAATCAACACAATCTTATTTATGTATATTGATGATTCTCACTGCCTTTTTAAGCAGATCTTGAGAATTACTTGAGTTATAGCAACGAAATTTAGTTTATTATAATGAGTACGCCGAGTTGAAGTTATATATACAGACTTTTGATAGCATATACATATATATGTATGTATATGTATGAGATGTTGTTGAAAATGGGAAATCAGGGTATAATGGTTTTGTTGTTAGCATTAGATTTGTTCACTAAGTTTATCATCTTCACTCAATAAATCTCTCGCTTTCTATATATACACTATATGTATCTCTCTCTATATCTATAAATATCTTTAAGAACCAAACTTCCATCTGGACAATGCTGAAATTAATTGGAAATCTGCTAAGAACTGAGATCCGTCTCTCAATATCTTTAACACCTTGTATTACCAGAGGTTGGTAAAAATACAGAAATTAAATATAGAAAGAGTTTTGCTGCTCTGCAGTGAAAACAAAGTTTAAAGAAATGAAAGTCCTTGAAATACTTTTGACCAGCTGCGCTGAGCAAAGTCGTTTATCTATATTTATATAGTATATATATATATATATTTATCTTTGTGTGTGTGTTTGTGTTTGTGTTTTGCTGTCAAGAATTTCGATATTTGCCAGTTGTCTTAATATTTACATTAACATCTCGCGCTCTTTGCCTTTTGTCAAATCGCATAGCTCTAAATAGTGAAAAGGAGAAGAAATAGTGAGAGAGAGAGGGAGATGGTGAATTGGCATAGGTATGCCTATGTATATTTATCGGTATATTGGTATATATAATCGCCTGTTCGTGAGCTGTAAACACTGGCATTGTAAATTTACACCATGCTTATAATTAGCTATAGAACAGAACAGCCAGTTGACTTTTTTCCTTTTATTATATGCTATTGTCAGGCATATAGTATATGTCTGTGTTCAGATATATATACCTATATTTATATATATATATATATATATATATATATATATTCATGCTGCAACTTCATAAGGTACTCGCACACACACACACACACACACAGCTTCTGCTCAAGTGTTAACAAAAAGTCTGTAAGGCTTTACTTCTCTCTGTCTCTCGCTCTCTGTTTGTCTTAAGCGCCCTCTCTTTCTCTCTCTCTCTCTCTTTCTCACACTCTCTTGGCTCTGCGTCTCGTTACGGCTGCTGGCAGTCGCTGATTTGCCTATGCTTGATTGCCAGCAATAATTGTCGCTCAGGCGTTGACGCTTGACGCCAACTTCAGGGCCCACCAATGCCTCAATGCACCTGCAGCTGCAGCCAAGCCAACAACAACAACAACAACAACAACTACTACAGCTTTGACAATACAGTTTGCTCTGTCGCCACCGCAGAGTTGTGGCCACAAAAACAAAATAAATAAATATTGACAAATTGCTGATAAATCATTTATTATATTGAGCCGCGTTTGCTAGTCTCTTAGATATACATTTAAAGATATATACACACACACATATATGTACATATAATTCGTGACTAAAACCAATTGAACTTTTGCACACAAAAAAAGAAAAAAAAAATAAAAGAAAAAGAAAAACGATTGGATTTGCGCATAGATATACTAAATATATTGAAAACCTGGCCTTTATATATGTATATATAAAGATAGATATTATTTTATATATTAAGCTTTATTAGTATATACTTATATGTATATGATATATTGTATGTATAGACTTCATACATATAAGCTTAGTTTTCTTCATAAACAAATTCTACATAATTGGAAATTCCATATGAAAGTCTAAGTTCAGTTTCATAGTTATAGCTCCTTCAGGACTAACTATAAACGTTTTCGATTCCAAGACTTAAATTCTTGAAATTAATCTATATGTTAATAATTGCTACCTAAATGATGATTTATATTAATGATGATTATATATATACATATATACCATATTGCTCATATTTTCAAGTATTTGCCTAAAGGTGCTAAATTTTTTTAGGCTCAAAGATATCATAAAATATATCATATCAGCAATTTCGCTTTAGTAACAATGGTAATAGTTTCATTTCTATATATGGTTCTCTATGGGTTGTTGTTTCCTTTACTTCATGAGGGATACCTCTTTCTCTTCTCATTCTTATTCATCAACTCCTTATTCTTTAATTTCTTATTGTTATTCATCTTATTTTTCTTCATTTCCTTCTTATTTTTAATTTTCATCATAATATTTTTTTCCTCATCTTTTTTTTCTTCTTCTTTTACTTTACTCTTCGTTATCATCTTCTATTTTTTTCGTGTCTCTTCCTCTTTCTCGTCCCCTTCCTCTTATTCCTTCATATCTCTATCTATTTTCTATACTAAACATATCCTCACATATGTTTTCCATATATTCTATTAACGATTCTTAGACACCTTTCTCTCTCTCTCTCTTCTTCTCTCTGGCTTACTCTCATTGCTGTGTCGTGTTGCAGTTTCAGCTCCAGTCAGCTGCAGTGGCTCTGCTGCCTGTGCCTATTTATTAACATATTTCGTCATGAATTAGCAGTTGAGTTATAATGAGGTGGAAAGCAATTCCGGTTCCAGAGAGAGAAAATGAGATATTCCCTTTTTGCTTGGACGTAAGCGATATCTCCTATATTATCCATTGCCCTCGGCTTCGTCCTCGTCCAGGACGATAATCGTTTTGCACGCTCTCCAGTTGCACAGTCCCTTGCTTTGCCTCCTCTTCCTTCCGCCCCGCCCCGACCCGCCCCGCCCTTCCCTCTTGCTGGGGACGGACATTCACATGCCGACATGTCGTCGTCGTCGTCGTCGTTGTCGTTGTTGCTGCTGCTGCTGCTCAGCGCCAGCTCTCATAATCCGTTGCCTTTGCAATAATTGCAGTGTCGCCGCTGTTGCCCCTGCACAGTGGTACAAAAGCGCTAAAAAGGCGCAGAAAGTGAATAACATTTAAGGTTAGTGCAATATGCAATAAAAGAGTAAGTTACCAGAAAAAGTAGTGGAAGTAATAGAACAAGGAGAACTTGTAAAAAGAATAACAAACAATTTTTGAAATAATATAGGAAAGAGAATAAGAAGGAATACTAATGAAATGAGAAGAAATATATGAAGATGGAGAAATTTAAAAGAATAATCAGTCAAATAAGTAGAACAAAATAGTGAGTGCGAAGTAGAATAAATCTAATAAAATGAAGAACCTGAGATGAAGAAGAATAAGAACAGAAAAAAGTGTTTTCTAGCCAGCAGAAAGAAAGAAATAGTCGAAGAATTTAAAGTAAATAAAGAAAAATATATGAAATAATATAAGAGAAAAGGAAAAAGAAATAGAAGTAGGAGCAAAAGAAGTAGAAGGGGAAGGACTATAAGATAAACGAGATACGGAAGAAAGATGTATTTTTGATTCTATTTATACTCTGATATTAATATTCAGCTTTTTCATTATTTTGCATATGAAATTTCAATATGATTTGTTGTGTTGTTTGTTTTAAACATATCAAGTATACACATGTTATATGAAGTATACGTATAATATGTACGTATATATATTCAAGTACTATATATTCTATTATATAATTATGTACTAACTATAATCAGTAAACATGCAAAAACTAAAAGCTAGATGGGAGCTCGCCAAGGGGAGAACTAGAGAAATTGATTGAGCTAGAATATGATAGAAGTATTTCCAATAGCTATCAAATCAAACAATAATAAGTACAATCAAGGGGCCTAAGGAAAGCTCTACAAAATAATTTACATACATATATCAATAAATATGTAAATATATATAATAACCCATCAGTTCATCATCTTTAACTCAGCTGAATGAAATCAAATGAATATTTTTTTTGTATTTTTTTTTTTTTTTATTTATTTATAGAATTTCTCTTATCCTTTAAAAAATCTTGACGTTCCTAAATACAGCAACAGAAATCAGCTCAAGCTCAGCTAAGCTAACTTCAGCACAGCTCCAATTTAAATATATTTTGAATAATATTGTATTATTTTTTTATTTATATTTTATTGTAATTATT